TGAACGAACCTGAAATATGATAAAAGAGTATCATAATGATTGGTGAAGACGAATCTGAAGGTTTAAGAAAGTTTAAAGAGTGACATAGATGTTAGGGTTTTGTTATGAGAGAGAAGAGTGAAATATGTTAGGATTTTTTATTTGAGAGAAATAATTGTTATTTACCAAAAGATAAATACTTTCGCTTATATAGTAAAAGATATCATCTTTCATCACGGTTACAGAGAAAAATTGTGATATAATTTATCATTTTTCATCGCGGTTACAGAGGAAAACCGTGGTTAAATCTCTCACAATTTATTTATGAACCCAATTATTAGAGAGGTATTAATTATTGTTATAGTTATTTTTCTTTACTCTTGCGCTTGTTGTTTTTATTTTTGTTGGCATGTACTGTTTTTGTGTAAAAATAATAATATACAGTAATATAAATGAAATAGTATATATAACAATAATAAATATTTTCATTAAGAGGTCCAAAAGGGCAGAGTACATAAATTATTTCATTACATATTGTCAATGTCAGAACAATAACCAATAGCAGCAAATGAATCTTCATAATCTATGACTCTCTACTCACTACCCTCGTCAGAATCATAGTAACAAATCCTTGTTTTGGTTTATTGAGCTTTGCCGAATAAGTTCTATTTTTGGTTATTCAGATCAGCTTAAAAATCTCTAAGAAGGTTTGTTAGCTTAGGTTGTGGTAAAAGATATCTTTGGTTTTAGATAAGCCTGTAAAAATAGAAAGATCAGACTGTATAAAGGTTCTTGGGCATAACCTTCAATAACTCAAAGTATATAGTCAAATTCTCAAGAAGATCTCTTCTGGATAAGACTAGGACAACGTTCTATCAAACCTGTATAAATCTCTGGTGCAATCTCTCTAATCCTATCCTTTTAATTTTTGTTATTTACTGTTTTATTTATGTTGTTATTTACTCTCAATAAACTACTAACACAATTTAAATTTTAATCGAGAAAGAAAATAATCACGAATTTTAAATATCACAATTCATCTCCTCCCTTGTGTTTGAAGTCACTTATGTAACAAGCATAATTCTATATAACAGTTTATCATCTTCCATTGATGGAACTCATTCAAAAGATGAATTAGTGAATGTTGCATTCCTAAGTGTTTGGACAAACCCCAAAATTTGGAAAGTTGACATGGCATTGAAGACCCCGATGAACACGTCAAGCACATGGACATCATATTGGACTATCACTAAGCCCGAGGAGCGGTGAAGTGCAAGCTTTTTTCCCTCACCATGGAAGGATCAACCATTGATCTAAATCTCATTTTCTTTTAAACGGCCTAATATGTCATGGCCATCTAAGTCGTTACTTACACCTAACCGTAACATTCCAACCGCTTCCACTTGACACAGATCTTAGTATAAATGGACATTTCGTTTTCATACTGTCACTACCTTCAGACACATTCTTCCTTTTGTAGTTCCCTTCTCTCTCACAAACCATAATCAATTTATATTTTCTCTCTCTGATCGCATTTGTGATACCATAACGAATAATAACAACAATAATATCATGTTGTTTACCAATAGACTGTGCCCCTGCCAAATCGTCAGCTCGAGAGGGAAATATCTGTCATTTACAACATATACAATATAAATTATCAATGTCAAAGATATTGTAAGCCTATTAATTTCTAAACCTTCAATAGTTCAATGTATGTTGATGCATGTGAATATATGTTGATGCGTGTAAGAGACAATTTATATGATAAATAAGCTTGTGAAATCAAAGTAATTAAAATTCTCTCAAATTGAATATTAAGTTTATGCTTTCTAATTTTTAGCACTCATCAAGACTAGTATCAAATAATATAGGTTTCGCCTAATGCGAGGTGCATGTTATTTATTAGTAAAGTGCAATGGGATAAATGTAATATCCAATTGGTAAAACATTGGGTCGAACTTAACTAAACTAATTATAATAAGAGATATATTTTTTCAAGCGCCTATAGGCGTCGATGATCGACTCATCACTATATATTCTATATCAACCTTGACATTGATTATGAATTCATGGACATGTACTGATAGAATACATTGGGTCGAACTTAACTAAACTAATTTATTTCAAGGTTAATCTTGTTGTTATCTTTGAATATTTGTATAACTCTGAATCAATTATTTTGTTAAAGTATGCTTTTACCTCGACCGTGAAATTGTTAACCATTTGTATGATCATTGTAAGCCAACTAGTGAGATTTGTGTGATTTTCATTGTTTACCTTCTTTTGAAAAATTGGCATTTCATGATATCTATTGTTTTAACTCAATATGTGTTACTTTCTAAATTGTTTAAAATCTTGGTGATGATGATAAATGAACTTTGTTGATATTTGAGTGAAACTACTTTACCATAAAGTCAAGATGTGAGCAATTGATCTCTCATAACCTTTATTGGGCTGATTTTATTTTTTATTTTTAAATATAACCCAAAGCCAAAAAGAAAAATAAATTATTGACCCTTTGTCCTAAAAATTAAGATAACATTCATTCCATGGTAGATTATAAGCAATTTGAAAAAAAAAATTGTTGACCATAAGCATGTTTTCTTATTTTGGCTATCACACTAGAGCTCAATAAGATTTTGTGATGTGTGTGGATTGTTTCTTAAGGATCTAAAATGTGTGGGTTATATAATTTATATGTTTCTATTATTATTGATTATGCATCATTAGTTAGTAAATATTTTCATGACAAAAAATATGAGATTTGAGATTAAGACATGTTAGCAAAAGAAGATTTAATAATGACCTAGTTGAACTTAGGAAAAATGTCCATTTTATATAGGGGTGCATGATGTTGAGAGTTGGGTAGCCAAAGTGTTTAAATCTTAAGGTTGGTGATAAAACAACTTACTTGATTGATAAATGTCCATTCACAAGAACAAATTTCAAGACATCTATGAAGGTTTAGAGTAGCAAAGTGGTAGACTACTCTAATTTAAAGGTCTTAAGAGCAAGGGTTGTGAAAGACATCTTCATTGATTATCTAGAAGGTGTGAATGGTTACAAACAATGGAAGGTGGAATATGGAGGATTAAAAATCATCATAAGTAGATATGTTAATTTTAGTGAACTCCTAATTAATGGGATGAAGAGTTAATTAGAAACTATGGTGGAGAAAACTTGGTTTTTAGTTGGAGGTTAACTTAAAAATTGTACAAATGCCTAAATCAAGTTTTAAGCATTTATTGTATTTGATCAAGTTTGTTGAAGAGTGATTCAACATTTGGAGAAAGAAGTAAGATGATTGATGGATAAATTAGCATCACCGTCGATTTTAGAACAAGGTGAGAAATTGTAGAGATTGACTCAAAAATCTTATAAATCCGTTGACAAGAATGTTATGCGTTTTGGAAAAACACAACGTATTCCTGCAATTTTGCAAAAATACGACGCATTTTAGAGAAACACATTGTATTTTTCCTAAAATCTATAAAAACACACTTTTTATCCTTTTTTTTTATATGGGTGACATACGAGTAGGGCTGGAAATGAGTCGAGTCGAGTCGAACTCACCTCAGCTCGGCTCGACTCGTTAAGAATTGTTCGAATTCGAGTTCGAGTTCGAGTTCGACACGAACTTTTTTTTAAGCTCAAACTCGACTCGTTATAAGTTCACGAACAGTTCGGTTCGACTCGTTAGGTTCATCTCATTAGGTTCAGCTCACATGGTTCACGAACTTAAAAACTATTTTTTTAAATATATATATTTTTTTAGTATATTTGACATTTTAAATAAATATATATATTTTTAAATAAAATATTAAAATAAAATAAAAGTTATCATATTGAAATTTAACTTTATCTTCGAAATCTACTAATTCAAAACCTACACAACTTTCAAGAGATACATTTGAGAGTCTAATTCAAAAAATAATAAATTGAAGATTAAATTTGTCTAAGATTTGAAGTAAATATTTAAACCTAATCTTAAGGACAATATAATTCTTTTCATATGTAATCGAGTTGACTCATGAACCTAACGAGTCGAACTATGTATAGTTCAAGTTCAGCTCATTTAGTTAACGAACTTAATTTTTCGCTCATACTCAACTCATTTGGTTCATGAACCTAGTTCAACGATTTAATTGTCGAGTCGAATTCCGAACTATCTTCGAGTTGGTTTGGTTCATTGCCAGCCCTACATACGAGTGTCATTGGAGAGTTTTCTAGAAAGAAACTTAGAAAGGAAAGGGAAGATATTCTTATGATTTATTGTTATAAAAATTGGAAGATCATTTAAGACGATTGAAAAATTATTCTAAATATCCTGAATATAGTTGATTCATATATTTAGAGATTGAGAAACACTCAGGGATAGAAAATAGTAAATATTCTTGAAAACTTTGAATGTTATTTACTTGTAAATTTTTTGTCATCTCTTAAAGTGTAATGAATTTGAGACCTGCTCTTTTCTTCTTCTGAGTAAATTGGTTTCATCTAACTAGGTAAACAAACCATGTGTATTCACTCTGCTCGTGTGAATTTGCTTATATTATTTGACAAATTGATTAATTTTATTTAAGACCATTTATATTTTTGTTATCATTATTCTCTATCTCACACATAAAAAAAAAAATCTTGCTATGTTCACATATTTATTGTATTTCACAAAATTGTAGTTGTGGTATATTTTTAAACTGAATTTAAACTTTAGACATTTGATTAAGATAGAAGAAACACTTTTCATCATCTTATTGAAATTCAAATTCTCTTGTATGTTTTAAAAGTCCTTTGTAAGTAAAATTATTATTATTATGTATGTTTATTATACATTAAAATCATAACAATTATTTATTTTTTTATACTTAAGCCTCTATTAGTACATAATCAAAGCATGTCATAGCTCATAGTCTCTATTAGTACATAGAACATAATAACTATATAAGATATCATTAAGAGACATGTTATTCATCCTTCATCATTCACCCTAATTAAACCTATAATTATACAATGAAACATCAAACTATATTCTCTTTCATTTCCACCATTGAATTGAAATTCTGTTTATTGCCATCATCATCACCAAGCTTCTCACTTGAATTAGCTTCAACTTTATTCTTAGCATTCTTGTATATGAGGTACAAGATCATTTGAGAGATGCCAAATAGAAATCCCAACACATTTGGCATCTGAAAATTACAACAACAACAAAAATATTTAATTAGTTTTCTTTCAAACATATTAAATCATTAATAGGATGAATAAATTAAATATATTTCTATACTCACCATAATGTAGTTATCCTTGTCAAAGAGTCCATAGAAAAACCACATGGTGGCACATAGAGTAAGAAATAATGACAAGGAAAATGGCATGAACTCAACACTTCTTGTTTTAATCACCTTCCTCTGCATTTAATTGAATATTATTAATTTAATAAAAAAATTAATTATTGAAATTTTTTATGGAGGAACTCGAGTTAAAAAAAATTATCTTAGAAATAAAAAAAATTCATGAATATTATTTGTTGCATATGAAACTCTATAAGAGAAAGTAAGTACCATTATGCTTAAAGGAGCAGCAAATACAGCAATGTTAAAAATGGCACAAATCAAACCAACAGCATGGACTCGAAAGGTTTTCTTCACAACAAAGAAAGTGATTATCATTGTCATGCCAAAGCCTCCAATGTCAGCAACAAGTATCAAAATCAAGGTTGATATCTGCAATTCATCAAAACATCAAACACAATATTCACATCGACATGACATTGACATTGACATGTCAATATTTATAATAAATTAGAACTTATAAAATCAATGACACTGATCACATATGTATCAACGTCGTGTCAATATCAAGCTGATATATCATCTAGCACGTTTTCAAACAGAAGTCACAAATAATTCAGTGAAATGTTAGACCTTTTGCGATAACTCGTTTTGTATCTTGTTAAAGACGGTGATGGATATTACATGCAGCAATGTGATTGTTGTGATTAGAATTTTACCTTGAGTTTCTTGGGAGCATATATGATGAAGATGATTAGGTAACCAACTTCAATAACACATCCAATACAATTGATGGTGATAATCAAAAGAGCATTGGTTTTTAGAAAGCCATAGTATAGCAACAATAATGCACTAAGAAGTGCAACCACATATGGAATTGATTGAAACCCTTCAGATGTTTTCTTCTTGTAAATTGAATAGAAGGTTGGCCTACAAGAAACAAAGTAACAAAACCATTCATACAACAATTATACATATTTTTAAAATTTGTTTTGAGATATATATGATCACTTACAATGGAGCTAAGAACACCAAGAATGACACAATGTTACCTAAGAGACCAAAGATCAAAACCATCTCATGATCAGAAAATGTAAACATTTTTGAGAAATAGGTGTTTTTTTTTCTTTCTTTTCTTAATGTATAGAACAATGTGTGTGTGTTTCAACCAAGCATGATAGGTTCAATATATATAGTGGGTAGACAAGTCTTCTAGGATTGTCCATTTGGACCACAAAATGTGTTGCCCTTTTTTTCTCTCATACAACTCTATCTTTTTAGAGCACTAATATAAAATATCATCCAAAAAGGTTGCCAAACTAAACACAAAATATAATAAGGTTGGTACCTTCTAACATTTCTTTATCTTCATTTTGTCTACCTTTTTCTCATGTCAAACTTGTAAATAATGCTATTGTTTATCAACTAAATAGTTTAATATATTTTTATAGTATGGTTCAATTTTATGGCATTGTAGGTACAATTTATATATTTAAATTTTATTAAAATTATAATCACATTTAATTTCTTAAATATAGAAAATATATTTAAGAAGGGACAAATGAAGTATATCTTATCATAAGGTAAAGGAAACAATAATGTGCATCTACTTTGTACAGGACAGTTGATTGAGGGCAGGTGTTCATGCATGTCAGAAGAAATAATGTGCTCTATATGCTTTTAAAATTGCACCAAACTTTTTCTTCTTGTTTAAAGTTTTATTTGATCATTAAGATAAATATAAATAAATAAAAAATCTCAACCAAACTTTTTAAATTTGGCATAAATTCATGTAATGAGAAAATGAAAGCATATAAGGTAATTAGGGGGACAGACGTCTAAATATTATTAATAAAACAATTTTATTATCTTTAGAAAAATTGTCTAAATTGTTGGTTTTGATAGTGTTTGATTCTAATTTATTTGTCACTTTTGATTAAGGTTGAAAATGAGTCGAGTCGAGTCGGACTCACCTCAATTCGGTTTGACTCGTTAAAAATTGGTTCGAGTTCAACACGAATTTTTTTTAAACTCAAACTCGACTCGTTATAAGTTCACGAACAGTTCGGTTCAACTCATTAGCTTCATCTCATTAGGTTCAGTTCACATGATTCACGAATTTAAAAACTATATATATATATATATATATATATATATATATATATATATATATATATATATATATATATATATATATATATATATATATATATATATATATATATATATTATATTTGACATTTTAAATAAATATATTTTTTTAAAATAAAATATTAAAATAAAATATTAAAATAAAATATTAAAATAAAATAAAAGTTATCATATTGAAATTTAATTTAATTTTTGAAATATACTAATTTAAAACCTACACAACTTTCAAGAGATATATTTGAGAGTCTAATTCAAAAACTACTAAATTGAAGATTAAATTTGTCTAAGATTTGGAGTAAATATTTAAACCTAATCTTAAAGACAGTATAATTCTTCTCATATGTAATCGAGTTGACTCATGAACCTAACGAGTCGAACTATGTATAGTTCAAGTTCAACTCATTTAGTTAACGAATTTAATTTTTCGCTCATACTCAACTCATTTGGTTCATGAACGTAGTTCAACGATTTAATTGTCGAATCGAATTCCAAACTATTTTTGAATTGGTTCGGTTCATTGTCAGCCCTACCTCTGATATAAAATTTTTAAGTGATTGAAATAGAGTATTAATTCTAACACTCCACGTATTTTTATAATTTTCAACCTGTTTTATAAATAAATTTAAATAAAAAATGCGAATGAAAATTTCAGTAATTCGTTCAAAGTTTTTAATAATAAATCAAAATTTTTTTATAGTTTATTTTTAAATTTTTACTATAAATTTTTTTATGATTTTTTGATAAAAAATTAACATATCAAATTTTTTGATCAATTTGATATCTATTTTATTTAAAAAAATTTTTTTTCAAAAATTCCAATATTCTTTTTTTTTAAATCATTGACTTTTTTTCAAAAAATTCAAGTATGTTTTAAAAAATTCCAATAAACACAATAGAAATTGCCAAAAATATTTAATAAAAATATAAAAATACTAACAACCACCACTCTATAGAATGTAAATCTTCATTATTTCGATCCTAAGTACTTTTTGAGTTTATTTATTTATTTATTTTTAAGTAAGGTGGTCAATTTAGATTGTTACGAATTAAATACTATTTATTTGGGTGGATAATTAAAACTTTAATTTAATTTGAAAAAAAAAATCCTAGAGATAACACATGTAACTCTTTTTTTGGACCCGTGTATATTTAAAACTTTAAACCACTTTATATTTTGAAGGGTTTATCTTTTCTCTTCTGTGAGTGATTACATAGTGAAATGTACATTTCTTTTCCTTAATATCTCTTTTTGGGTGTAAGGCCAAATTTAAGGAGGAAAATTTCACAATGAAAAGAAATAGGCAAAATGGCACCATTTCAAGTATTGATTTGGACATGATGTTAACCCTAATGATATCATTATTTGTTGTTCCAATTTCTTTGGCATTTTCAACTTTTAATTGGGCCAACAAATAGTTTTGATATGTTAGAAGAAGTATATAATGAAGACAAATGTTAGTACAAGAAAGTACTTTCAATTTATAGGACTATTGATATGATTATGTAATGGGTTAATAGTGTTTTTCGTTCAAGTAATGAGTTTAATATGATTTTAGTTTCTATCTTTTTTTTCTCAATGGATTTTATGGTTTAATTTCAAATTTCCTTTACTTTAAGTCTTTGTTTATATTTATCCTTCTAAAAAGGATGAGGTGGCAACAAGATTATTATTTTTGAATGATATGATATTTTAAGTTTATATGCATTAACATTAGGAGTTTACGAAATTTGCTGCTTTTACATAAGTGATGTGATTGGTGGATTTATCTATATTGAGGAGGATTTATCTGGTCCTATTATAACAGGTTTCTATGTGTAAGTGGATTTGAGTTCTTCTATCGGTTGGATGGGGGGAGAAGTAAAATCAGGGTAGTCTGTAATCTTTTTGGGTTGAGATGTCTATGATTACTGTTCGTTAGTTTTGAAGTACTCTTCTGATCTTTGAGGGGCCTAAGTCTTTTAGTTTTAACAATTTCTAGTTGAGAGATGTTAACTTTGAGAGGGTGGTATGCGAGTCCTAGTGGTTGGAAGTTTGTGAGGGTTTGATGGCATGCAAGTTGGAGGATAACATGAAAGCTCTTAAAGGGACTCTTAAGGTGTTGAATAAGGAGATGTTTGGGAATTTGAATGTTAAGATTAAAGTTTTTCATATAAGATTTTGAATTTGGAGTTGAGAGTAGATTTCGAGTCTCTTGTCCAAAAGGAGTTATTTACTAGGTCTCAAGTTTATCAAGAGTTATGGGATTTCATCAGGTTCCCTGGCGCTCAAATGTTCCTGAGGTCAAGATTGGCTTGGTTGAAGGATGGGAATGACAATAATGGGAATGACAATAATGGGTACTTTCACGCTTGTGTTAAGCATAGAAGTAGGAGGAATAGTTTGGTTGCTCTCCGAGTATGAGATCTTTGGTTGGACAAGGTCTTTGAGGTTCAAGGGGAAATTGCAAGGTACTTTAAGGAGAATTTCTTTGATTCTATAGCTTTTAGGCCGACCCTTGATAGGATTACTCTTCCTTGTTTTTCTCCAGTTGAGGTCGAGTCCCTCTTTGCTAGGTTTTTCCCTTAATAAATGGCCGAAGTAGTTGGGGAGATTGATGAGTCCAATAGTTTGAGACTCGATGGTTTTAATTTCTATTTCTATAATAAGTTTTAGGGGTTAATCAAGGAATAGATTCATGTGATGTTTGACCAATTTTTTCAGAATGATGTGTTACAAGAGTCTGACGTTCTTTTTCACCACTCTTATCCTGAATGTGGAGTGTCCTCTTATGTTGGGAGATTTTAGACCTATTTCCTTTATTGGTTCTTTGTATAAGTTGGTGGCTAAGGTGTTGGCAGTTAGGCTAGTCAGGGTTATGGGGAAGCTTATCTCCATAAATAAATAAACTTTTATTAAGGGGAGACAATTGGTGGATGGAGTGATTGCTCTTAATGAGGTGGTAAATCTTGCTAAGGTGTCTAAGTGTGAATGTTTTAATTTAAAGTAGTTTTTAGAAGTTTTATGACTCTGTTAGTTAGTCTTTCCTGGATTATATGTTGTAAAGATTTAATTTTGATGATCGTTGCAGAGCTTGGATTTGTGCTTGTGTTTTTTTGGGTAGCATCTCAGTCTTGGTGAATGGGTGCCCTACTAAGGATATTAATATCGAAAAGGGTCTGAAACAAGGAGATCATTTGGATCACTTTATTTTTCTTTTGATGGTGGGGAGTCTTAATGCATCTCTAAAAAGGGCGGTCATAATCGATGTGTTTGAAGGGTTCAAGGTGGGTAGGGATAAGCGGGGGGAGTTTCATCTCTAGTACGCAATGCCACAGTGTTAGTTAGGGTTCCATCTATTGAGAATCTTTTGAGAATCAAGGTTGTTCTCAAAACTTTCGATCCTTCCTCAGTACTCAAAATGAACTTTACTAAGAGTTCTCTGTTTTGGGGGAATGTGGGGATGACACTCTTGGATTTGGCAAAGGACTTTTTACATTATAACGTTGGGTCCCTCCCCTTTAAGTATATAGGGTTTCTGGTGGGTGCGAACCTAAATAAGGATAGGGCATGGGACAATAGTTTCTTACCTACAAACCATGTGTTTAGAATAAATAAGAATTCTTTTAGAAAAGGAGACAAAGTAATAGATATGCCGCCACCTCGACTGTCAACAAATGAAATATGGAACAGAGTTTGTGACCTACCAAAATTCACCTCGACTATCACTAACTGAATTATGGAATAAAGTTTATAACCTACAAAAATTTACTGATTATGGAAAAGCTTGCACAATTTCAAGTTACATGGACAAGCATAATTAGACAAAAAAAGTATTTTTGAGACCTTCCTTATTAGAAGGATAATTTGTTGCGACATAATCTTGATATTATGCATATTAAGAATAATTTTTTTGATAATTTATTTAACACAATGATGGATGTTCTAGGCAAGAAAAAAGATAATGAGAACG